CATAGTGAAAATCCGAGAGCGCTTAAAGGTGTATCAAAGTCATCAATGCCAGTGATTTGGAAATCAAATCGTAAAGCTTGGGTCACGAAATCTGTGTTTGAAGATTGGTATAGAAACAACTTTATTCCAGAAGTGAAAGATTTCTGCTCTAAAAACAACTTAGTGTTTAAAGCATTACCACTTCTTGATAATGCCCCAGGGCATCCAATAACGTTAAATGAGTTATGTCCCAATATAAAGGTAATATTTTTGCCATCAAATACGACATCATTAATCCAACCGATGGACCAAACCGTTATAGGCGCGTTTAAGAAATATTATTTACGTGCAACTATGGTAAGCATGATTAAAGCTATTGATGATAATAAGGAATTAACGGTTAAGTCTTATTGGAAAGATTACAATATTCATAATGGAATTAAAAATATATCTGCCTCTTGGGATGAAGTTAAAGAAACGACAATGAAAAGAGCGTGGAAAAAGTTGTGCCCGCAATTTGTTTATGACGAAGAAACAAATGTTGAAAATCTTCAAAACGAAGTTGTAGAAGGCGTGATAGAAATTGGAACGCGCTTAGGCTTGGAAATAAACGAAGAAGATATCGAAGAGTTAATAGAATCACATGACGAAGAGTTGTCTATCGAAGATCTCATGGAATTACAAAAGACAGATAATGTCGAAACGAATGACGATGACGCCGTTGAAGACCTGCCCAAAGAAAATGTATTAAACTTAGAAACTTTAAGTGAAATTTTAAATAAAATGGAAAATCTCGCCGATGTCATAGAGAATGTAGACCCAAATATGGAACGAAGTTCTAATGTTGTAGGTATACTCCGTGATGCGTTTACTTGTTACAAAACCATGTACATAGAGAAAAAGAAGACTGGCCTTAGGCAATTAACCTTAAAACAATTTTTAACTAAAAAAACTTAAGAATCGATAAGTTAATAATCGTTTATTTATTAAGTTATTTATGCTATCTTTACTTGTACCGACTTTT